TACAAGCGTCCAATGAACGGAAGGTGGAGAAACTGTCCGGAAGCATATTTCACTTCTGAATTACTGAACGTTTAGCTGTAATACATTTAATACCGACATTCAAACTCCTTTTTAACTCTCACATGTGCGATACATGCCCAACCAATCTCACACTCATTGATATAAACACCCTAATTATATTTAGTAAACGTTATAAATTATGGAGGACCTGATACACAGTTTCTCACAGCCTCCTGTCACGTTATCCCTTTACGACGCAAATATTCTCCTAACCCCCATGCCCTCAATTGCACTCAACGACTGATCTTCCCTTAACGTTAGAGACCACGTTTCAGAATCACACAGAACAAAACGTAAAACAACACGCTTGTATATTTCCAACAAAGACTGCTCGAAATTTAATCCAATCCTGATTTGTTTTCGCCGGTCCCAAACGGTGATTACCAGTGGAGTTGTTATCGACCTCCAGTCAGTCGATATAAATGAAATGCCCCTGTAACTGTCCAGAAAACAGCCTTTGTCATACTCGCCGCCGCGAGAACCTGAAATCTCACCCTCTGTAACGAAATCTTCACAAACGGAAAGATGTTGATATTATGGCACCGAAACTAGGGTAGGCGTTGGGGTCCTGTGATTCTCTTTCGAAAATGGACGGAGAAAGTCACAAAATCAAACGTTAGGGTGGGGTTGAATAGTCCTTGTGCCCGGGCGAGGTGAAGCGCTGCAGGGGTGAGTCTCCCAGCTCATGAATACCCGTGGTTCCACACCCCACACCCTGCTACTTGCTGGTAGCTGGGCCCAAAGGCACATAAGTCAACGGGAAGAGGAGGAAGGGTAGAACAAGGGGGTTGATGCATTAGCCTAAGCTCTTTGTAGCCTGGAGAGGAAAGGGTCAGAGATGAAGCCGTTCGTCGGCATACGCAATGTATTCCACTCTCCCTGCCGTCTCCTTCTTCCGACACACGCACGCACATACTTCCAGACCCATCTCTCGATTGTAAAGGATCAACCAAAGCATCTCATCACGGCAGACAACTGTTATTGGCTAAAAAAAACAGAACAGAACGAAGGCCTGATGCCAATAATACAAACAGCGACCGAAATGCATATTTACTTATCATTCCTTCGTTCTCCCCTTATTCCTCTTCTTCCGTTTATTCTCTTATTCCTCAATTTCCTCCCTTTATTCTCTCTCCCTTCACCAAGCTTTCTTTTCTCTCGCTCACATCTTTGTTTCTTGTTTCCTCATTTCCCTTCTTCAATGTCATCTTCGCTCTCGTTTTCTGTCTCTTTACCATACCCATACATAAATTATTCTCCTCCTAATTCACCTTATCTCCTCTTCTTATTTCTTTTATCCATAATCCTTCTTTGACTAACTCCCTTTACCTTCGTCCTTCTACCTCTTACTATTCCTCATTTAAGAAACGAATCTGTTACGTCTCGAAAACTGATATATATATATATGCATACATCACTTCTTATTTAGAATTTTGTACACAATTCGACTCTACTTTGTTGTAGGGCGAAAGTTATAGACAGTTGAATGATGTGGACTAAACACATTACAGCTGTGACTATATACCAATTAATGCCAAAAAAGCTGAACAATTATTTTTGATATGAAACTTATGCTCTGAAATACGAAACTCAGATGATAAGGAAACTCCATACAATGTTAATGTTCTGGGTTGTGTGTAGTATATGCCAAAGTTTAGGATAAATTTACTGTCTCCATATTAGACCTATAGATGGATAAAGCATGTTTCTCACAAACGTTGGTATCTGTACGGTGTCAGAACCCAGAACAAGACCTCCAATCTGACAGGAAATTCTATGTTATGCAATCAAAGGCCCATACACTTTCAAATATACACATTTTGATAAAATCCTACCAGCCACACATAACCCAGACGTGATACAATCTTCGCTTCAGGTTTTAGGGAAAAAAAAGTCGAATTAATTTACCATTTCTTTCTTCGTGTTATATTTCCCATTCATCACACCATTCTTCAATTAACCACAATGACATCATCAGGCGAAGAGTAAACCTACAAAAATATGGGTTATCATGCATTTCTTTTCCGATATTTTGTTACTTCTCTCTCGTGTCCAACCATTCTCGTGAGAAATCTGTTTCCATTTTCAGTCGATGCTCCACGACCAAATAAAACAACGCGTAACATAATTAATCATGCATAACAATCCATACAAAGGCAATTATATATTATGTAACTTAAGAAGCCAATACATATTTCGAACGTCATGCGACCATCTTCTGGTGACACGCAAATACATAATCAACACTGAATTGAGTAGGCAAGAAAATATTACAAGGTAAAAGCTTTTTAGGGTTGCACCTGAAAGGATCCAAGTAGGTGGCGTTTACGTAGTTAAAACACTGAGTGCCTCAATGTTGAAATGTAAGTTAAAGCTTATTTTAAGCCTTTAAATGGTTGCATTTCAGTTACATGACGTGGATTTATTTTAATGTTAATGTTATCAGATAACATGATGCAACATTCGCCTTCATATCCAAAACTGCAGAACACAGCAGTGACCGCTACATCGGACAGAGGGTACAAGCAATCGTGTGGGTGATTTCAGCGAGACTCGGAGCTTAGGGGGGCGCACACGCTAGAGCGTATAATTTTACATTTATTTTCATCGGACTAAAGCGGATAGAGAAAAATTCTTTAGCAATGGCAGTAAATACAACAGCAGCATGTTAAAAGGCAATTCTGGTAAATTAATTCTGTTCTGTGCCATCGATTTCGCTTCCCTTACGCCGTTAATCTCCGACAGGAGCGCCCATCGAGATATCGATTACAATCTAAATTTCGAAACAGACATGCCTCGCATTTTTATTTGTAAACCGGTGATAAAGCACAACATACGTGGCCTCTGGTACTGATGTCTCCAGCATAGCTTGATCGACTTAATGTTATGATTAAATTCGTTCTTACTAATGTCACTTCACACATCCATTCGCTGCTATTATACATGTCAGTAAATATTGAAAATCCTCAGGTATCAGAACCAGAAGGTTCAACATCGCTAACGCAGAAACAAAGGAATGAATCCAATTCCAGAGCCAAATCCAACCGTAAGCCACCGTCACATCTAACTTAAATTAAACTACCTTTACTCCGAGACCAACAAAGTCCCGAATCAAAGATGAAGCCCCCCACTAATTTAGGGCTAAGTATATAACAATGTGCTGCTTTTAAGGTCACTGAAGAACTTCGCCCCCACGGCTCCAAGCCAACAATACGACGTTTCTACCTTTCCTAAGCTGCGTGATGCTCTTTTGCTGTCTTAACTCGCTTGTGCTCCACTAATCGTGCTGAAACGTTGTGCAATTCCACTGTGACCTTGAAACATACAATTTGGTCACGACCACCATCATACGGGTATGACAGATCATCCTGTAATAGGCCGTCAGGAATATCTGTAAAAGGGTGCCAATAGGTACACGAAGTCACCGGCTAAAAGGCTCCCAGTGCGTAGATAAAACGACAGGTCCTGTGATGTCTGTAGTAATATATTTAACAAGATTGTACATATATTTAAATAGGAGATAATCCTTGAAAAGGTTCGTTTCCAAATTCGGTGTGTTCTTTCTATTTATGAACATTTGAAATGATTTCTGACTACAAAAGAAAATGCAGTGTAAGAAGAGACTTATGCAAACATCGGCCCAAAAGGTATTAATTCAAAGTTTCTGACTGGAATTGTCTGAAAGCTAACAAGAAACTGACTATGCAAATCTTTCTTGTTTCAGGTTATAAGAAAATTTGCTAGTGCTAGGAGATA